CCCCTTAGCCCTCTCCTTTATCTCATTTTAGGATAGACTGTTTAAAACATTTAACCATATATTAGTACATGTTAGTACATTTAATTATTTAATGGAAGAATGAAAAAACCTTTAAATCATGTCTTGCAGCATGCTTCTTTTCAGCACAAAATGTATAACATCACACATTTAAATCTAAAAAAACCCTTATGAACGTATGTTACAGTTTAGTTATGTGCAATGAAGAATTAAATCTGGACTATACTACATATTAATTCCTCAAGCATAATAATACTTCATTTCAGTGTTTATGTTTCATTGTTGATTTCATTGTGCAAAATGTTTGGATAAGTAATGACATAATTGCAATTTCACTTAGAAAGGAGTAAGTTGTTATTTGTAAACAGTAATATCATACTTCTTTTAATAAACTGTTTGCAAAAGTGTTATAACTATCAGGCTTTCTTTTGGTTCCATAAGCACAGCAAGAGAACTTCTTCAACGTCTTTTTTTGTAACATTGGAAACAATTGAAATTTATTTCCATTTCTTGATTTTTCCTATAAACAAATGTATGGTCAAAACTAGATTAAAACATTAAGTTTTTCGTCCATTTCAAAAGAGGCCTATGGATATTGCCTTCCCAAGAAAATCATTTGGGTAGAATTTAATGTATGTAACGCCTTTTTTAAAGATTAAAATTAATACAGATCTCAGCATGAATTAAGATTGGATCAGGAAATCATTCCAGTTTATTTTTAATGTGGACGTTTGTTTAAAAAATACCTAAGCAAATTGCCATGATTAATTTTGACAAGCTCACTTGTTTCTAAAACTAGCTAAAAACTTGACATGTTAATTTTAAATACAATTTGATGGTTCTTTAAAAAAATTCTGCTTAATGTTCCTGAGAACATTTCAAAGCCCACATACCATTTGTTGGAGTTATGACACTCTTATGGGATCTCCTTTTTAATGCCAGCCTGCTACTGCGGCTGGCTGAAGGGAGAGCAAAGTTATCTGCAGGAGACTGTTTTCCATAGGAAAAATGGAAGATTTCCCATGTGGACATCCTATGTTGTATGCAGGAATCGTCTTTGAAAGGTCAATGACCTACTGGGTTCTAGTTGGCCTGCTGTAAGACTGTCGCTTTCCGTTCAATTTCTGTGATTTTTGTGCATTTTTTCTCTCTGACTGCTAGATAGACAGATGACAAGTCTTTTGGAGGAGGTGAAATGGGGGAAGGGAGTAGAGTTACCAATTTAACAAAATATCAGTATATTAGTAATTTTGCAGTTAACTAGAGACTACAATTTATTCTACTGCTTGATCAATTATTCTATAAATGCTATCATAATATACCTAGGATTTTATTTCTTTCTTCCTGTCTGTGTCACAAATATTAACAAGTAAATGTTTCTCATTAACTTTAAAATGAATTCAAGAATTTTATTAGGGCAGCATCTTCATAAAGCAAACACAGTTACCAGATAATATGGAAGAGGATGAGTAATCTGACATTGGATTTTTGCCCAAGGGCTAGGCAAAACGAGCTTAGATATGGGCATGGAAAATCATTGGTGCTATTTGATAGCTCCACGTCTTATGATCAGAAAATGATCAGTGGCTACAGGGAAAATGTACTGTATGGATAATTGGAAAAGGCTGAATTCTGATGAGCAAAGCTGAATGGTGTTTTTTTTTAATGTTTGTTTGCTCGGGAAGAGATAAGATTAAGCTTTCCTCCTTGCAGACTTCATTTTCTCCATTTCCACTCCTGCTCAGTGTATTCATTTCCCTCTTGATGATAGCATGACACAACTAAAAATACTTTAGCCACTGAACTTGAGGTAGATTTGTAGCAAGATCCATAATAAAGAATCAGTACACAGGCTTACAGTATAAAGATAAATTCAAAGCTTAAATGCTGTATTTTCATCAAATAGCATACCCTGTGACAGGCTACCTTTAAAATTCTGGAAATTGCATACTATCTATCAGGCTTCATTAACTCCCAGACGATTACTTGAATGTGAAGACAAACAAGAGGAGATTCAGGTACACAGTTCCTTGATAAACTAGTTGTATTACTGATACTAGGAAAGCCTTAATTAAAGCTGGAAATTGCCAACTATAAGACTCAAGCCATATCTGCCTGTCTATCTCCAGGTTCATATCTTAGATCGACTCTTATGTGGCCTAGCAGACTGAGAGCTGTTCATTTCTCTGTAGGAGGGCCAGTTGACAACTGTGCACTGTTATTGCAGCAGACCTATCTCATCTCAGGCTCTTTCCATCTGACCTTATTCCTTCTCATACTCCATTGCCAGATTAAGAAGGATTGCTTGAAAGAGGTTGGCCAGCACTTTGAAGTAGAACAATGCCTTTGGCAGTAGGTAATTGAATAACATCTAGATTAAGAATGATTAGAGAAGTTCCATGCAGATTGGTGAGTTTTGGTGATTTAACAATACGGTGGATATATCACCGTATCCTTGTTTAAGTTGATAGGACCCAATCCTATCAACCTATCCTTGTTTAAGTTGATAGGACCCAATAACTTTGCGGGAAAGCAATGACTCGATGAGTACAAAGACATTTATTTCAGTTCTGAAACTAAAAAACTAATTCCTAATCTATAGATATCCTGATACTTTTTTTGTGGTGGCTATAGAAAATGTAAGAAACGCAGTGGCTCAGTAGCTAAGACGCTGAGCTTGTCGATCAGAAGGTTCCAGCTTCTGCCAACCTAGCAGTTTGAAAGCATGTAAAAATGCAAGTAGAAAAATAGGGACCACTTTGGTGGGAAGGTAACAGCTCTCCATGCGCCTTTAGCTTTTAGTCATGCTGGCCACATGACCACAGAGACGTCGTTGGACAGCGCTGGCTCTTTGGCTTAGAAACAGATGAGCACCGCCCCTTCAGCCGGAAACGACTAGCACACATTCATTCATTCATTCATTCATTCATTCATTCATTCATTCATTCAGTTAGTTAGTTAGTTAGTTATTATATTTCTATACCGCCTTTCTCCCCTAGGACTCAAGGCGGTGTACAGTCAAGAAAAATATAGATACACAAACATCATAAAATTGCTAATTAAAATTATTATTATAACATAGTTTGGCCCAATTAAATAGAACCTAAAATTAGATAACATTTTAAAAACATTCACATGTTCATATGTTTAGCCCCGCCTGTTGGGTTTTGAGGGCATGGCGGAAAGCATGGAGATCAGGGATATTTCGTATCTCAGGGGGCAGTTCATTCCAAAGGGTTGGAGCCCTCACAGAGAAGGAAACCTTTACCTTTATAGAAAATGTGTTCTCCATCTTGGATCACTATTTTGTACTTAACTCCAGTTTATATACATTATTTATTTTATCTGATTAGTATGTATTTTCCCTCTCCTCTAAAAAAAACTCTAATGCACAACTTTGCTCTATTTCCCAAAAACCTTTCAGATAGGTAGAATGAGCATCAAATTAACTAATGAATCATATTCTTAGTGGAGTTTGAAGTTAGATGTCCTCACTTCATCTAGTATTTCTGTTACTATGCAGCCTGACAATTAGGAAACATTGCTTGTAAAAATACAGTGGGACAGACCAACATAATATCTACCATTTCTGCCTGATGGATAGAATGGCTTTTTCCCTGCTTAGTAGCAAAGAAAATGAACTAAGCTGAGAGAAATAAATCAGCTGCATAGCAGCAGCAGGAGCATCTTTCCACTTGGCACAGAAGTGGAGTAGTCAAGAAACTTGACAAGGTTTCTTCAGCAATTCTGAACTGATGGGGCGGAACCTTCCTAATCCTGAGCAGTTATACACCCTACTTATTTTTCTTTTTCAGCATGACATGCAGTCAAGCACTAATTGTAGTTTGAATGCATTCTTCTTCATTGTAAGAGACTGCCTTGAGTTTATTTGAGGCCTCTAATTTGATAAGGAAAACAGACAAAACTTGGAAATTCCTCTAAACAAAATACTTGAGGTTTTTTTTTTAATGCTGTATTTGTGCCAACTTGAAATATAAAATATGCTAGATAGATGGGACAGTAACTTGTCAATATTTTTTCTTCTTCCATTCAATCATGTCCGAATCTTAGAGACTGCCTGGAAAAGTCCTTGAGTTTTCTTGGCAAGGTTTTTCAGAAGTCGTTTACCTTGCCTCCTTCCTAGGGCTGAGAGAAAGTGACTGGCCCAAGGTCACCCAGCTGGTTTTGTCCCTAGGTAGTATTTGAACTCACGAATACCAAACTGGCTCTTGTCAAAATATTAACTAGCTGAAAACTATTGTCACATCTGTTTTGTTCTTATAGATGTATAATGACTCTCCCTGGAAAAAAATTAAAAATATAATTTAAAACGCTATTTATAATATTTAATGTTAGAGAACTTCTGTTAACTTTTAACTCATATTGGTAGGAGGTCAGGATACAGCATTAGTAGTAAATGCCATTTAACAATGCCTTATAAAAAGGAGAATGTGTGAATAAACTCTTCCGTTAAAAAGTGACATTACCTGCTGTTAAATGACTGTCATAGTGGACTACTGTTACCTGCTATTAGATGACAGTCTACTGTGACAGTCATCTAATTTTAAGTTAGTATTCATTTCACAAATAAACTCACTAGTGCATTTTTTTTTCATCTGAAATGGAAATTCTGAAGTCTGACTATTTTCAAAGAGACCTGCAGTAATGCGTGTGTGTGTGTGTGTGTGTGTGTAAAAATGTGTATGCATGTATGCATATGTATACATGTATTTGTGTGCTTGTACGTATAGAGAAAGACCATTATACTAACAAAAGAGATGTATATAGTTGTAAGCTTCGGAGAACTCAAAGATTAATATCTAAGTAAATACATACAGGGCAGGACTGGAAAAAGTAGTGGAGAGAGCTGTTTAATTTCATTCCTATACAGATGATAAGCACAAAGGAAGTTTCAAATGGAAGTGATGTGAAAAGAAGCTTAAAAATAATTAATGACTATGTTATTCTTAATTTAATGGTAGGTGTTGGAGCTGCTCGTGCAGGAAATCTTACCTTCATGGTCGGGGGAGTAGAGCAGGAATTTGATGCTGCAAAAGAGCTGCTCACATGTATGGGTTCCAATGTGGTCTATTGTGGAGAAGTTGGAACTGGACAGGTAAATGCAGATCATTCCTAGGCATGTTATAAGTTTTAGTGTCTCTTCCCTTTCACATTGCATTAATGTGCTTCATAAGCCAAAGATACCTTCCAAACTTACTGAAATTTACTTTCATAGTGAAATTCTTCATTAAACTGGTAATTAATTGACATTTGTTCTATCCTCTCTCCACTTCCAGTAAGATATACTACTGTAGCCCTGTTTAAAATGCCACCTTATCTGAAGCATAGGTAAGAAAACTGAAACTTTTCTTGTGAGTTTGTAGGGCTCACATGCAAATTTCATATACAAAATGCAGTTTTGCATTTTCTTGCAGACATTTTTGTCTTTTTCAGTGTGCTGCAGGCAAGTATCACATTGTTTTTCTTTCAGTTGTATTTGTGATTTAGTTGTTTAGAAGGTAGGTATGTAGATGTGGTATTCTAGAAGTTTGATTGTAATTATTCAAATCAACTCAAATCAACTATTCAAACCCATCAAATTATTTTGTGGGTTTAAATTATTTGTGTTAAAATTAGAGTGCAGCAACCTCTGCGTATCACCCAGAATCTGTATTCTGTATTCTGAATGTTAACTTATTTTAACAATTATTTTGCTTAGATGTACTGAAAAGCATCTTATACTATTTCTGAATGAAAAAGAAAACACAGGAAAGTCCTAAAGTACCTCATAAATCAAATCAAAGTGATTTGTCATCACAGAAAGTCTCCATCTCCTTTGGCAACCTGAAATAATATAAAATAAAAAATAAACTAAGTTACCAAAACCAAAATGTGGAACATTATATCTAAAATGCACACTTTCTGCCTTTCTTAGTCCCTTTTATTATATATAACTAAATTCATTTCATTAAATCTCATGATGTTCTCAACTCCTTGGGTTTTCAATAGGTAGGAAATTTGTAGCCCAAGGCCATATGCAGCAACAAATTGTGTGTGTGTGTGTGTGTGTGTGTGTGTGTGTGTGTGTGTTTCCCCCAGAATACTATCCAACTATATTGTCTAAAACCTGGTAGAAAATAAGTTTGAAATCTTGTGTATGTATTTGCTTTGTGTTATCATGCTGCTGCTCTGTTGGCTTTGTCCCCACAAAACATTTTAAACACAGTCGTAATAACCAAAGGGTGTTCACCCCAACTTAGTTTATGAATACTGTTTTGTTATGACTTGCCAACTCTACTCTTTTTAGGCTGGTTCTTAAATGGTAGTAACATTGAGATGGGGACTATTAGAGTGTTTTTGTATTATTTTGTTTAAAATTGCACTGAAAAATACAAGTTTATAGTAGGAGTCTAAAGCTATAATGCTATGAGTTGTTTGGGATGTAGTATGGGCACTTCCACATGGCACTATTTCTACATCCTAATCTTCCTAAATCATTTTGCAATTGCCCATACGGTAATTTTTTACATTGGATGACTATGGGCTAGGAATATAGTGAACCATTTCCTTGGCAAACAGGAGAATGCAAATATTGTGATTCCCAATAGGGTCCCAGTCCCAATCTACAACAACTCCTAAGAAACAAAAGTTACCTTAGCCTGACTCCACACAAAAAAAGGGGAAAAAAAACCAAGCGTTGTGTTCTCTACCTTGCCCAATGCCTGGTATTTTCAGTGTCTGATATATGCATTCATTTGACACTTTACAGAACATTCAGAGATGTTGCTATGTAGATAAAAGCATATCTCTTCTTAGATAGAAATTCCCATTGAAAACTATGACATGCAGCAAGCTGATTTATTCAATAATGGCAATGATGATGTAGATTTGGAAATATAATGGTCACCTGAAAACTAGGGGAGAGGGGCAGAAGTTGGTAAGTGTACTGTAAATAGAAAAAATCAACCAGGTCAGTTTTTTTTCAATCAGAAAGAAAGTGAAACTGACAATACATATTAAGTTTGCCTATAGAGACAAAATGTTTTGCATTTTAAGTCTTTCAAATATCAAATATCCTGTTTCAAGTTTGAAACAACTTTTTTTTCAACCTTAAGACACTTCCAAACCATTTTGAATGCAGAAGAGCTGTTTTTACTTGAAACTGGTACAATGTTCAATTATTTGTATATCTCTGGTTGCTTATGAAATATACTAGTAAACTCTAAAATCAAATACAAGAATTAAGAATTCCAGCAGTACAGATTAGAGAGAAGAAAAATTGGTTGCTTAGGAGGACATGGTGAGACACAACATGACACAAGTACCTGATCTGCACAAATGATACAAGTATTAGTGGCTTACTCTGCTGAAGACATATGTAGAAGGCTCTAAATGAAGATGTTTGGTAGTGATGATCCATGGAAACCTCTTGCGCTGGGCAGCCTCTACTGAAAGATGAGAATTATGGTTTCCATGATTATTATTGGTTAATTTAAGTGACAAGAATTTTGAAAAACTATTTTGCTTTGAAAACCAGACCACATACTCCCCCAAACCTAGGAAAAGTGGCAATTGCATGCAGGTGAGCATTTATGTGACACCCAAAAGATTGCCAATCTATGCTCTATAGAGTGGTTATGGAACAAAAATTTCTATATATTAAAACTTTTTCTGTTATTGGCATTAACTGAACAAAATGATCCTTCATAGAGGAATAATTAGTGTACCAAAGTGCCTCAAATAGGATGACATAGACAGTTCATCCAACATTCCTGAAGGAATGAAATTTGGAAAAGTTGTGGCTACTTCAGGCTGCTGCTATAGTTGGGCTGGTGGTAAAATTATCTTACTAAAATAATCTTCACTTTGGTAAAATTATCTTCATTTTGAATGTGATGGTTTCCTAGCCACTCTTGCTATCCCTCACTCCCTCCCCCACCAACAGCAAGGAATTGATGCATCATGTGTCTCTTAAAGAAGCAACAACTTTAAGGTGCCTATAGGAAGGCATGTATATTTTTATTGCTTTATGTCCACTTGCACACAAACATGTACATGTATTTGTATCCTATCTTTGTTCAGGAACTCAAGGCACAGATACAATGCTTCAACTTCTTACATTTATTCACAACCCTGGGATTAGGTGGGGCAGAAAGTCACTAAGTGAGCTGCTGTGGCCTCAAATAGACTGGGTCTCTCTGATATCAGGCAAATATATTAGTCACTATACTTTAGATTTTGCCCATCCTGTTTCATTTTTCAACTGTTTCCTACCCTGAAATTAGAAATCTAGCACCTGAAAGAAAGTCCTTCTTTCAGGTGCTAGAGATCAGGTACCATAGACTGGTCCCATCCTAGCCTTCGGGAAATGATGTGATCCTATTTTTAACAGCTTCCTACAACTCAGTAGAAAATATTTTGGGAGTCTAAACTGTTCTGGTGAGAACAGCAACACACAACATTGTGACAGAAATAATTAAAATAAAATAAAATATCAGCATAATTATGTCATGGAGAAAGAGAGGACGTCATGGTCAAGAAAGACACCAAACGTATCATCAAAGGATGTGGCAACGGAGACAAGAAATGAAGAAATGTGGTATGATAGTGCTGTACATCTCTAAAATCACAAAAGGAGGATACAGAATGAGGGGACAAGAAAAGTTGGAGAAGGAAAGGAAAGATCAGCTCAAGAATATGTGACAAAGTAATTTGCAAAAGTTCTTTAATGCTACCACATTGTGGATTCCACAATATCCACAATGAACACAGCAAAATGCATGACTTTCTGTTAATATTGGTGCCATGGCCAAAATCTGTCCTCACTTTCATGACATCTGTCCCTGGACAAAATTGCCAATTTTTGTCAGTATAGATTGTACTGAAGGTCAGTACAGACATTTTGCAACTGTTACCTAATGAACTTCTCAATTTACCTGTTACAAACTAGTTCAAGAAAAATATCAGACAATAAAACTACATCTTCCAAGTGACATCCTTTGAGGCTAAGAAGCCCTTCCAGAAGGAATTAATAGAATCCTTCTATGACTATGCAAGGGCAAATCCTTCTTTATATTGGGCATTAAATGCCAGTCCTCAACCAACAGCCCAAATTTATTCAGATTAATTTCGATTTTTAAAACAGCATAGAATTGAGAATGAGTGTAGTCTATAATGATGGAATTCAACATGAAATTCTTAAATTATTGGAAGGAGAGGAGGGTAGGGGAAGGAAAGAGAAGGGAAGGAAGGAAGGAAGATTGGTTGGTTTCCAATGCTCCCTGCCAGCTTTCAATAAAGAAGTTGAATGGGGAAGTCAGTAGAATATTGGAAGTCACTTCTTCCACTACTTTTTTGCCCACCCTTGGTCCTTCTGTTTCTCTGTTTAGGTAAGAAGATATTCCTAAAACGATGATGCAGTGGGGTATAGGTTGACTAGTTTCTAATAAAATTAGGTTCCTGATGGGTTGTTATTTGTAAAATAGAGAAATTTATAGGTTATTGCATTTATTTTCAGGCTGCAAAAATCTGCAATAATATGCTGTTAGCCATCAGTATGATTGGAACCGCTGAGACCATGAATCTTGGAATCAGGTGTGTTGAATTTTACATTTTGATTACATTTTGATTACATATCTTGATAATATTTAAGTGACTGGCCTTTTCATAGTGATGGAATAATGGTTCAAAAATTTAGAGTAGCAAACATAGTACAAGTTCAGTATTTCATGTTTTTTAAAACCATTGTTAACTTAGAAATTTTAATGTACAGGGATATTCTTTTCAGGGCTACAAAATAAAAGTGCATTTTCAGTTCAAGAGAATACGTGTAACCCCTTTTTTTTTATTATCAGATGAAACATGTAGCTCTGTTTAGGTCCCATGCTGTTCATGCTGTATTATAATCCATCAGGAATCAATCTTTTGAATGCAAGATCACAGGCCATGTAGAGTCTGAACCATAGTCTTAACAGACTGTACCAAAAGAAAAGTGCTATAATCAGTTCTTATTCTTAAAAACAACTTCAGGGTATTTTTAATTAAAAAGTTATATTGTTGTTAAAAGGCTGGTTATATTTGCAATATTTATATTTCACTGATAAAGAAATAAAGGGGAGACTATTTTAAGCTATTTAGCTCTCATCAGCTAGCCATACCCTTACTTGGATTTGAACTTGGGTTGCCTGCATGTTAGGGTAGACCAAGTGTCTCAATAGAAAAACACTTAATCTCTCCCCTGGCTTAAACTGATGAAGGGAGGAGAACTTGTGTCTCAGAGGTTAATACAACTGCCTAACATGCAGGCAACCCAAGTTCAAATCCAAGTAAGGGTATGGCTAGCTGATGAGAGCTAAATAGCTTGAAATAGATCTATACTAGTCTTCCTTTATTTCTTTATCAGTGAAATATAACATTGGTATTTAATTTATATTTTTATATATATGTAGGTCTTTGGTTATTCGGGTTTCCTCCCACGTAAAATTGGAAGTGTCTTGGCGACGTTTCGATGAAGTCTCATTCATCATCTTCAGGCTGGTGTTTTCGGCTTCATGCTTCTAGGAGCAATGTGTGATTGCAGCTGTTTCTTCCTTTTAACTGCCAGTGGGGGTGTGAACTGATCGGGTGGGAGCTTGGCTGTGTTCTGATTGGGTGGAGGTGTGTTCTGATTGGTTGGGGGCTTGGCTGTGCTCTGATTGGATGGGGGCTTGGCTGTGCTCTGATTGGATGGGGGTGTGTTCTGTTTGGGTGGGGGTTGGTTGTGCTCGGGTTAGTCTGGTTGCAGGGGGATTTGAGCTGGTGAGCTGCGTTGCTGTTTGGCTTCGCGTTCGTGGTCGTGCCACATCTTTATGGTGGGTGTCAGTTTGCTTCATGTATGGATTGGAGGGATTTAAAGTGGCTAATGATGCAGCTGTGGTCTGGCTTCTGGTTTCTGGTCGTGCCTCATCATCTGTGTGGGTTTGAGTTTGCTTTTTGCGTGGATGTGTGGTAGTGACATCCTGTGTGGTTTTCGTGAGTGTGGGTCTGGTGTCATTCTTTGTGTTAGGGACTCATTTGTCAATAAGGGCAGGTTTCCAAATGGCTGGTAGGCGGGAGGTATCTCGGTTATTCATGGTGTGTGGGCGTTTTTCTATCTCGATGGCTTCTCTGATTATTCTGTTGTTAAAGTGTTCAGTTTTGGCGATAGTTCTTGTCTTTTTAAAGTCAATTTCATGTCCTGTGGCTTTAAGGTGTTGGACCAGGGAAGAAGTTGGTTCCTCTTTTCTGACTGAGTTCTTGTGTTCTTCAATGCGTGCATTTATTCTTCTGTTGGTTTGTCCGATGTATGTGGTGAGGCAGGCGGTGCATGGGACATCATATACTCCTTGATTTTCTAACTCAATTTTGTCTTTGGGATTTCTTAGGATGGTGGATATTTTTCGGTTTGTGCAGAATGTCTTAATGTTGTGTTTGTGGAGGATCTTGCTGATTCTGTCTGTGGTGCCTTTTATGTATGGGAGGAGGGCTTTGTCGTTTTCTTGTTCTCTGTCTTGGATTTTAGTGGGGGTTTCTTTTTGGATTAGGTTGGTAATCTTACCAACCAGCTCAAATCCCCCTGCTAACCCGAGCACAACAAAGCCCCCACCCAAACAGAACACATCCCCATCCAATCAGAGCACAGCCAAGCCCCCAACCAATCAGAACACACCTCCACCCAATCAGAACACAGCCAAACTCCCACCCAATCAGTTTACATCCCCACTGGCAGTTAAAAGGAAGAAACAGCTGCGATCACACATTGCTCCTAGAAGCACGAAGCCGAAAACACCAGCCTGAAGATGACGAATGAGACTTCGTCGAAACATCGCCAGGACACTTCCAATTTTACGCGGGAGAAAACCTGAATAACCAAAGACCTACATACAAACACCCACGAAAACCTCAGAAAACAAATATCGTACCTCTACGGGGAGGAAATTCACCCCCTGACCAGGACCTATGAAAAACTCAAAGTCCAAAGAGCTTCCATTTTATGTGACCTCGCATTCCTATGCAACTGCTGAGATCAAAATTTAATCCCCACATGCTTCCAATTGAAATTCCACTCTAACTCTGCACCCACCAAACGCATCCTGAAAAGAACAGAATTGGCCCTAATCAGAAATGAACTTCACGCAAAAAGATTCCTCCTAGATGAATCAACAAACATCTCCTAACACTTCACCTCAAACTCAGCAATAAGATCCACCCCGCACTTTGGGACAAATCCAAACTTGCTGTCTGGAGAGCCGAAACACAGACCACCCTCAAGACAGACACACACACCAAAAACTCTGAAGACTACAAGAACGCCAGAAACAAACCCCTCCCCCCTCACAGCCACACATGAAACACACAGTGCATAACATCTCAGATAGTATCCTCACCAAAGCCAAAACCAATGTCCTTTCCAAAGGATTCAACTTTGCAATCACTCCCAAACACATCCCCACTGAAACTATTATATGCGGAGTTGAAACCAGTCTGACCAAAATCAACCCCGACGACGCTAACAGAATCAGACTCAAAATCACCAACATCCTCTGCACCAGCAAGCCACCCAAAAGCAACTTACCCAAAGAGGAACAGACAGCACTACTTAACCTGAAAGAAGACACCAGCATAATAATCCTACCAGCAGACAAGGGCAACGCCACCGTGGTTATGAACACATCTGACTACCAAACCAAATTAACCAACCTAGTCCAAGACTCCACATACAAACCCCTAAACACAGATCCCACCACCTACCTGGAAAAAACCACTAGATCCAAAATAAAAGCCTCCCCCATCAGCGAAGAGATCCAGCAAAGAATCATTCCCAGAGAGAAATCATCCAGATGCCCTAAACTCTATGGTTTCCCCAAGATACACAAAGAAGGAACCCCACTTAGACCCATAGTCAGCTCCATAGGCTCACCTCTACAAAACCTAGCCAAATTTTTCACCAAACAACTACAGCCCTATGCAGAATCCATCACCTCACATGTAAAAAACTCATTCCAGTTCATAGAGATCATAAAGAAACAAAACTTACAGCCCAGCGACCTATTCGTGAGCTTCAATGTCATATCCCTTTTCACCCAAGTGCCAATCAAAGAAGCCTTGATAGCTATCCAAAACAAATATAACACCCCAAGCACATCCTAGATCTGACCAACCACTGCCTATCCAACACATACTTCATCTATAACAAACAAAAATACAAACAAATAGAAGGAGCACCCATGGGATCACCCCTCTCACCTGTCATTGCAAACCTCTACATGGAACACTTTGAAACCCAAGCTCTAGAAAAATCTGATCACAAACCCAAACTCTGGCTCAGATACATAGACGACACCTTCATAATCTGGCCACACAGGAAAGAAAAACTGGACAACTTCCTTACATACCTCAACAGCCTACACCCCAAAATACAGTTCACCATGGAAATAGAAACTAACAAGCAACTTCCCTTCCTGGATGTCTTAGTCTACAAGAAATCCAATGGCTCCCTAGGACACACCATCTACCAGAAGAAAACACACACAAACCGCTATCTGCAAGCACTCTCACACCAGCACCCAGCACAGATCAACTCCGAAACCAAGACACTCATCTCCAGAACAAAACGCTTAGCTGACGAACAATACCTAAAAACTGAACTACACACTCTCACTAACGTACTAACATCCAACAAATTCCAAAGAAATAAGATTACCAACCTAATCCAAAAAGAAACCCCCACTAAAATCCAAGACAGAGAACAAGAAAACGACAAAGCCCTCCTCCCATACATAAAAGGCACCACAGACAGAATCAGCAAGATCCTCCACAAACATAACATCAAGACAGCATTCTGCACAAACCGGAAAATATCCACTAGCCTAAGAAACCCCAAAGACAAACTTGAGTTAGAAAATCAAGGAGTATATGATGTCCCATGCACCGCCTGCCCCACCACATACATCGGACAAACCAACAGAAGAATAAGTGCACACATTGAAGAACACAAGAACTCAGTCAGAAAAGAGGAACCAACTTCTTCCCTGGTCCAACACCTTAAAGCCACAGGACATGAAATTGACTTTAAAAAGACAAGAACTATCGCCAAAACTGAACACTTTAACAACAGAATAATCAGAGAAGCCATCGAGATAGAAAAACGCCGACACAGCATGAATAAACGAGATGACACCTATCGCCTACCAGCCATTTGGAAACCCGCCCTTATTGACAAACGAGTCCCTAACACAAAGAATGACACCAGACCCACACACATGAAAACCACACAGGATGTCATCACCACACATCCACGCAAAAAGCAAACTCAAACCCACACAGATGATGAGGCACGACCAGAAACCAGAAGCCAGACCACAGCTGCATCATTAGCCACTTTAAATCCCTCCAATCCATACATGAAGCAAACTGAACCTACCATGAAGATGTGGCACGACCACGAACGCAAAGCCAAACAACAGCAACGCAGCTCACCAGCTCAAATCCCCCTGTAACTCAGACTAACCTGAGCACAACCAAGCCCCCACCCAAACAGAACACACCCCCATCCAATCAGATCACAGCCAAGCCCC